TAAACAAAGATGAAATGATCGCTGTGTTTTACACTGTCTTTTGTTGAAAAGTACCAATATATACAACTAAATCAAGAATTTAACTTCTGGTGAAACTAACTGGTTGATAGAGAAGCTATACAATGAAGAACAATTAATTATGTAGACTTCTTTCTATCATTATGTATAGTCTCTTTTCCTTTAAATAATCAATATTAATTGAAAGGAGAAAACTATATGCATACTCTCTTTTTTTCAATCAATCCTGATACTTGAAAGAAAAAAAGGAAAAAATATAAAAACTACTTTTTCAATATGTCAATTTTACGTTTTTTTAGGAAAAAACATTTATACGTTTGATTTAGATATATGTCGTTGAATATATGTCCTCAATTTAGTGAATCTATAAATATCAATGTGATTTTTATTGTTTGGCAGGTTTATATGGAGATTTGATCGCCAACCAAACAGGAATTTTCATTAGAAATGTTTACACAGGCGAGATAGCTAAAACTTTCAAATGGACAGAATTCACTCAATTCCATTTAATGACAGCAGGTCGTCCAGAAGATGTGAAGCGTATTTGTGTAATACATACCAGCAAAGAGTTTTGCTGTGGCATTGGAGAACTCTACATATTTTGTCTTGACGCTAATAAGTTACTTCAAGACTTGGTAACACAGGGCCGTGGTCCGAAACACCGACAAAAATTTTTATATTCTGATGGCGATAATCTTGAAACAAGAAAACACAATGAAATCAGTAGTCTTTCTTCACCATTAAAGAGTGATGCACCTCTTTGTATGCTTAATACAGACACTAATTGGTGTGTATCATTATACAGAATGACAACAAAAGTGGTCAGAAAGTTTTGTCAAATTTTATCAAGTTATTAATAATAAATGTATATTTACAGAAAACTTTAAGAGTGTTAACTATATTTCATTAAATACTAAAAATAATATAAAATGGCTATTTTTAATTTGGAAACAAGCTTTAAACTGCTTTGGAAATGTATCAACGATGACGTATCTTTCCATCAGTAAATTCTCCCAGACAGCCAACAGAGCGTTCTTTAGTCCATTAACTGATGAAATTCTTTTGATGTAGAATCTTTGATATTGATACATTATATTATCCAGATAGCACGCTGATGAAAATGATGATAAATAACATCAGTTTGTTATCTGAATAATGATTTAATAACACGCAAAACTTAGTGACCAAAATTTTTTGTCATCCTGTATATAGAAAATTAAGTAACAATATTAATGTAATAATGCATATTAAATTTGAAAAATAGTTTAAGAACACCGATCAGCACTAAAGTTGTGAAGAATATGTACCACTCGGAACCTAATCTAATGTACAGTGAAAAACTTCATTCCTGTAACCACAGAAAATCCAATACCTCTATTGCTTCTGGAATTTATGAAGAAATTATGGATAATATTTGTTCTCCTAAAATGTCATTCACTTCCAATGAATATAAAGATACAGATAAAATTTCATGCAATTTACAAATTGAACCTCCAGCATTACCACCACGACAGAAACATAGGCCAGAATACACAGAAGAAGATAGGTAAGATTGTTTTATTTATTTTTTTTTAGAATTACCTTCTGAGAAAAATATAAAATATAGAATTAGAACAGTTTAAAAATGTGACTCGGTTTTTCTTAAAACAGGATGGATACAGAACAATATTCTCATCAAGAAATTTCCAATCATTTTAAATCAAGGTTACAAAATACAATATGTACGCAAAAAAGTACTCTCACAGATTCTTCCAGTTATGTTCCAATGTCACCACAATTGAGAAACAATATGCTTAAGTCTGATGTTTTGGAAAATTTAAAAGAAAATGACTATGTAATTATGCGATAACATTATATGACGCAAATATGTGGGTGAGTCAATATATATTTTGATTTTCTAGGATTACTTATTGACTCACCTATCATAATTGATATAAAGATTAAGAAAAAAATCTAATAGATAGCAAAACGAGAGTAGATAGTAGATAGTATATATAAAATATACTAAAAATATATATGTAGAATGTAGATAATAGTAGTAAATATATATTAAAAACCGTCCAAAACTACTTCATTGCTTTTTATATTCTATGTAATGTAACGAATCAGAAAGGGTTTATTAAAATTTAAAAGAATATAATCATTTAATAACATCTTGTAGATCACACAAAATCAATATTTTCTGAGATATACGCAAAAAGGCGAATTTTTTGTAGTTTTTTCAAAATGGTAGCCAAAACATGGTCAAGTGTTAAATTTTATTATCAGATCCATTTTCAGCAGCCAAAAATACATGCAAAAATTTGCTGCCATTAATTTTTCAGGTCATGTAGTTCTGAAGATTTACCATCTTTTTTTGCTCTAGACTTTGTTCATTCTGGCAGCCATCTTGAGTACGCTAATTCGATTTTCCGAAAAAAGGCCGCATTTTTTTAAAAGTAGATATCTCAACAATTTAAGCCCAAAACGAATCCCATAGGCCTCTCTGAATTTTGGACAGGTGGGGGGGGGGTGGCCTTTTTGACAAAGAATGCCCCATATATACAGGGAGGAGCATTTAAAACAGATGAATAACTCGCTTGTTTTTAATAATAGAAGAAAAAGTGTCAAACAAAAGTTACTTAGTTTCGAGGGGCACATAATGTGATGTCAATAATGTTTTGTAGGTGGAAGCGTAAAGGATAAGCAAAGGTCAAATTTGTTTTTTTAAATGAAATGATATGTTTTTTTATTTACCTTCTGATAGAGCATTTTAAGACGAATACAATGACCTATAATTGAAGGTCATTCAAAGTTACACAAGATCAATAATGGAAAATAATTGAATGTAATGGAAAATAAATTGTTTCAAGGTACTCTTCGAATAATTTTGTGTCTTCTCTTCTTGTTGGTATACCGCTAATCGTTCAAGTGTATGTAAATATTTACATACCATTTATAATAAATTGAATCGCACATAGCATTATCGATATTTACTGATCAGTTTGAATTTCTCGATTAAAATGCATCTCTTGCGAAATGCGTTATACGAAAGCCGAAAAAGTCGATATGATTTTCGCCTATGATGGATATCACCAAATTATGAGAGAAGCAATACGTTTGTATGCTGAAA